GAGATTAAATGAACTTTGAAAATATATTCAAATTGTTGGTTAGGACTAAGGGTTTATTTGAAGTCAGGGATCATGCATATAAAGGGAGGCTAGTCGGTACAGTTGTGGTTCTCACCAGTCTCCTTTGCCTGTGTGGATGCAAATAAAACTAGGCAGAGGTCCAGAGATAACCAGACTTTGGAGTTGCCAGGTGAATATGCTGGAAGGGAGAGGGACAAGAGCACTGAGGGTCCATGCAAGGGAATAATTATTTTTAAAAAGGAGCATGGCATCTAAACCAAGTAAGGAGAGAAAAGAGGACATGAATGGTGTTGAGCCCAAGTAAAAGGTGTTAGGTAAATGGGTTGGAGGTTCCAGGACACCAAAAAATTGTTGCATTTAAGGGGTAGAGAGATTCCGTTGAAAAAATACAAGTTGGTTATCAGAGAATGGGATTTTGAGATTTGGATTATAAAAGGATGCAGATACTGATGATGACAAGGTCTAGACTGACCTTGGTTCTCTCTTTCTTTTTTTGAAAATATGTTTGGTTTTTTAAAAATTGATTTTAGAGAAAGGAAGGGAGAGGGATAGAGAGAAACATCAAGCAACCGGTCCATGTGCCCTGACTGGGAATCAAACCAATGACTTCTTGGTTCATGCGTTCACTGAGCCACACCAGCTGGGCCTGACCTTGGTTCTCTGCAATCCCACCTTCGGCTAGAATCCCAAGTAGGTCTTCTGTGTTTTATACATTTTCTGGAGAAGTTGGCTCTCACTTCCAGTCTGGATTTTTTGAGCCAGGAGGACTAAAGAGGACTTTAAGGTAAAACTCGGGTAAAGTAGGGCAAGCATTTGGAGATGAGCGTGGCTGCCGCATAAAGGCTTGCCCCCTTGTAGACATCATCTTATTTACCACTGCCATCCCTAAGGAGAAGGGCTCATAAATCTATTGAATCTCAGGGTTGGAAGGTCACCTAGCCCAGCTGCCCCGCCCATGTGCAACTCATCCATAGCCCTCAGCTAAATAGTCATTGTATATCCCCACGCAAGGCAGTAATCACTGCCACTATTTCTCTTCTCCATGCTAGTTTGCAAACTCCTTAAGGATATGTGTTTAACTTATCATTGTTTATTGTAACATAAAATTTACCACTGTAACCACTTTATAGCATAAAGTTCAGTTTTGTTAAGCACATTCATATTGCTGTGCAACCATCACCACCCATTTCCAGAACTTTTTCATCCTCCCCAAATGACAACTCTGTACCCATTAAACACTAACTCCCACTTCCCCTTCCCCCAGCTCCTGGCAACCACCGTTCTACTTTCTCTCTCTATGAATTTGACTACTCTAGGTCCCTTATGTAAGGGGAATCATACAATATTTGTCTTTTTGTGGCTGACTTATTTCACTCAGCATAACGGCTCCAAGGTTTACCCATGTTATACATAGCATGAGTCAGAATCTCCTTCCCTTTTAAGGCCAAATAATATTGCTCTTTCGTATCTGCTTTTATTTTTCTGGGGTATATACCCAGCAGTGGAATTGCTGGGTTATACTGCAATTCTTTGTGTAATTTTCTGTGATATCATCAAACTGTTTTCTGCAGAGGCTGCACCATTTTATATTCATACCAGCAACACACAAGGGTCCCGATTTCTCCACATCCTTGCCAACACTTGTTATTTCCATATAATCTATCTTTAATTTACTCTCTATTTGACACCTTTCTGGGCATGTGCTGTTCTTGTATGAGTAAATGAATAGCTGGTTTTTAACCCCATTAAAAGGGAATTGAGGTTAAATCAGTCAACTTGTACTCAACAACCTCCCCCACCTTGTTCTACATCTGTACTGTCCATTACTGTAGCCACATACAGTTATATTTAAATTCAGATTAATTAAAATGAAACAAAATTTTAGATGCAGTTCTTCAGTCTCACTGGTGACATTTCAAATGCATAATAGGCACCATAACTAACGGTTGCTCCCGGGTCACTGTCTTCTTTCCATCTGCTTGTTTTTCTTCTTGTATCAGCTGCAAAGTTTTCACAGCTTGTTCCTGCTTTTTTGTCACTGCCCCTGGCTTAACCTCTAGCCCTTTTATAACCGCCCTGGTAACTCGGGGAGGAGTCTGGCCAGACGCCTGGTGAGTAGGCACTGATAGTCTCCTTACTGGTGTACCGTGGGCTGTGGAAACAGGATGGAGGCTGGCATCCGATAGTAGGGACTGTCTGAATAACCACCTTTGCAGTGATTGCTGTTGTTGGACTAGTGCTGGTTATTAATGGTGCACCTGCATTAACTGACTGAACTGCCTGAGTTGAAATTTTCTGACCCAATGTTGTCAGTATGACAGGAGTTAAAGTCCGTTGGAAAGACATCATGAAGTTTTGTCAGATGGCTAAGATTTGCATAGGAGAAATGGAGGGAATCTGGCCTCTAGGTGCAGAGGTTCTTAAATTGGTGAAAGAAGAGAAAAGAATTCTGAGAAGAAGAAGGGTAGAATACTGGTATGTACGTCACCACTAAGTCACCAGGTCACCTGTAGGCTCCTACTCACGATCCCTTTACTAAACTCAAATCCAGGTCCAAGTTACGGGCTAGGTGAGAACCTCTAAGGGTGGGAGGCCTCCAAAGCAGGCCCACTGCTACCCATCTAAACACCGATATTCTTCCTCTAGCATTTCATTTTCATTCTGGATTTCCCTGAAAATTCAATACATCTATTAATCCATTAAAATATCAAAGTAAGCTTAGAAAAATTACTTTAAAAGCAATGCAATAGATTACTCTCATAGAAAAGCAAATTTCTTGTTGTTCTGTAAGCTTATTTTTCTGTGCTTGGTATACAAGGAGGGGTAGAAATCAAGTGGTGGAAATTGCATTATTTTGATTTTAATTAAATGTTTTCCCTGCCTATCATTCATTAAATGACACTGTTGTATTCTTTTTTTAAAAAAAAATTCTTTATTGATTTTTAGAGAGAGAGAAAGAGAAACATCTCTATACATACTCTGACTGGGGATCAAACCCGCAACCTGGGTATGTACCCTGACCAGGAATCAGACCAGTGACTTTTTGGTGCAGGGGACGATGCTCAAACAACTGAGCCACATTAGCCAGGGCTGTTGTATTCTTATTTTAACCCAAATTGCAAGTTAGTGAAAACTTTCCTCTGAAATACCGGCATATTTATAAAAGGCCTGAAATTTACATGTATGGCTGCCTGCTGTGTGCATACAAATAGAATATTTTCTGTGAAAGAGAATGCGCTTAAAAATTCTGGTCTAGAGATAGAACTGATCGGCTCAATAACTCATAAAGGAAACCATTTTTTCTGCAATTATGATTTTGCATAACAAGTTGCAAAAGTATTTTAAAGTGAGACTGTTACTCAATAGTCATTTCTGGTAAAAACCCCTTTTGCGCCATGGCCCTGTCCTGCGGAACTAATAAAAGTGAAACAAAAGTATAAACAAAACAACAAATAAGCCATGCCTTTTACAGATAACTGTTCAGTCATGATCCTTTAAATGTTGCTTTTGAATTTGAATCATTCAGTTAATTTTCAACAAATGTAATTCACAAATAGGCTAAACATTTTTACATCCATATTTTGTTCATTGACATGAATTTGTGCTATCTGTTTAGAAACTGTGTATTTCTACACCAAAAAGCCTTACTTTGGGGGTGAGCCGTGGTTTTCTTCTCTTTTCCCTCCTCTTCATCCATGTCATCCTCTTGCTGCAGCTCCATATCTTTATCTGTCTTCCTTTTCCTTTAACACACTCTTCAGATGGACTGCTTTCTTCCTTCAGTATGGTTTATAATTTCTGCGAGTGCATGGACCGTAGCCAGCATCCCTTCATGACCCTAAAGAAAATTTAAAAGTACAATATTGGCACCACAAAAACAAACATGTTTCAAAAGATGAATATTTTTAAGATGAATTTACAAAAAGTAATAGTGAGAACAGATTGAAATCTGAGCAGCGAATTCACAATGAACTCAAAGAATTCAACGGGTGAAGTCTTTCCTGGAGAGTCCCTGCCTTGGGGTGATGATCTTGGGGAGACCTTGGAGGAGCGGACAGGTGTTCCTCTCAGTCCGCAGCTCCTTACCTCGCTGTGCAACCCGAGTGTGAGGAGGAATCTTTGGTAGGAGCTGATATGACCTTGCATCACTAGCTCAGGGTGTTGAAAGCAGGCCACTCCAGCTAATTTCTTTAAACCCCATTTTCTACAGGTTGCTGATGGGCAAAAGTGATTTATGAAACAGGAACTTTTGCCACAACTCTACATCCCTAGTCACAAAGAAACAGTTACAAAACAAATGCCCCCGTGCAAATTGGAATTGATTACAACGCAAATGTAAGTGGGGGACATATACTACTCACACCTTATTTCTTTCATGGTCCTGGTACCTCATCTCTTCAACTTAAATAATGAGTAGACCCCTCTTCAAGGAAAAGGAACATATGGCACCCAGTGTTGACAAATTATTTCGACTCTAATGTTACCTGAATATAAATAATATAAATACAATATTACTTACATAAATATGGTATAAATACCTATGGCTACAGACTATAAAATCCAAACCAATCTACACATTAAAAGTATAAAATTAATAATATTAAAATAAACATTGATTTAATGTTGTTTTGATGAAGTGAAACAAAAAATGTTGGTTCTAAAAGTAGAAAAGTGTGCCTGGTTGGGGTTGCTTAGTGGTTGAGCACTGACCCATGAACCAAGAGGTCACTGGTTCAACTCCTGGTCAGGGCATATGTCTGGGTTTCGGCTGGATCCCAGTAGAGCGGCGTGTAGGAGGCAGCTGATCGATAATATTTCTCTCATCATTGATGTTTCTATCTTTCTATCCCTTTCCCTTCCTCTCTCTTTAAAAATCAATAAGAACATATTTAAAAAATAATAATAAAAAAAAACAAAAGTAGAAAAGTGCATGGAGCTATTTTGTTATTTAGGATTCTCTTTATTTTTATTTTATTTTATTTTTTTTTCTGAACAGGTTTTATTACACAGACAGGGAGGGGCTGGGGCTCAGTCCTTCTTGGCTGCTGCCTTCCTCATGGCTGCAAGGACATTGCTCAGCTCCTCTCTCTTCCTCTTGGCGCGAATGTGTGTCCCCACCCTTTTCTTGATGAATTTCAGGGCCCTCTTGTCCTTAGAGACCTTGAGCAGCTCCATGGCGCCCCGCTCATAGGGGGCAAAGCCACACACCTCTCGGATCATGTCCCGAACGAACTTGGTGTGCTTGGTGAGGCGCCCGCAGCGGCGGCTGTGCCTCGGTTTGCTCACGTTCTTGGTCACCTTGTGGCCCTTGTTGAGGCCCACGGCCATGGGGTAGCGCAGAGCCAAGGCTGCTGCTCCTCAATGGCTGCCGTGGCGGAACGATTCTCTTTATTTTTAAGACAATAGATACTCATTTGAATGATCTTTGTTATCATTTCTATGATTTTTCCTTTAAACGTTCATCTTGAATGATTAATTCATTAATTTTTTAGCTTTGCTGAGGTTAATTTCAAAATATTTAAAGTGTTCAAAGTGTGCAATAATAATGTATACATTGTGAAAATATTCCCACCATCTAGTTAATTACACATTTATTACCTCACATTTATCTTTTTG